ATTGAGCGAAAAAATCTCTATGAAACACACCTTGTTTTTCTGTCTCTACAACAGCCGACAACTGTCTAAATAGCTATCAGAGGCTGGATTAGATGCTAATGTTTCGGACTACTTATGCCAATACAATGGCGAAAAACATTCTTTTAACCCAGAAAACGAACCAGAACTACATACCTGGCGGGATCTTACAGATGAAGTAGTGTTTTAAAAGACAACCAGCAGGCAGCCAATAGCCATTTGACAGAAGAACACATCGGGAGAAAAATAACTTCTCGTCGGGCACCTGCCATAAAAATGGCGTTCCATCCGTCCACACTAAACTGTGGTTTTGTTCTTTCACCAGACCGATCCAGAAGTTATTGTCTTGAATCCTGCAACATTGGTTAGTTAGAAATAAGTATAGGAAGAGACAACCGTTTTTACAAGGATAACAATTTAGGCTCACAATGATCATTTAGTTTGTTAGTTACCTTAGTTTGTAGGATCCTTTTATAGCATGTGGATCCTGTCTATCTCTTGGCATTGGTGTTTCCAGGATCACTCGTACCATTTACAACTACAAGTTCAATCACATGCAGACCAAGCGTCGAATTCATATCCGAAAAGTGACCGAGCCAGCTAAAATTGTGCTCTCGATCAGTGATGATGCAAATATTTAGACGAATTCATTTCTTTTAACATCTTACCCATTAATGACGCGAGCTTTCAAGAATTTGTGTTCTTCTGACCCCTTCATACTGGTAAGATGGCCGCCATAATAGACACACTCTTCTTCACTCTTATCAAAATTACGACGATACAGAAAAGCTCGGTAACAATTTTCTTTCCAGTACAGCCATTCCTGCAGGCAACCATGTTTATCTAGGGCTGCCCGTACATCTAAACAGAAAGGGGCTGGTATTTATCATATCATCTGAGGATGTGTGTTAAGGTTGGTCGATAGACAAGTCTACTATAGAGTTTACATCATAACAGATACGATGGTGTGAACATCGTGCATCTGAATTGACGTGCCAAACTTTCGTTCCGTTTATTTTATTAACTTTTGTTTTTTTTTTAATTCCGAAAATCATTAGACACTGAATGCATCTTTTGTTCGCGTTCCCAACGTTGGAGAGGGCAGAAATTTGATTGGCTGGCAGTATCATCAAATTGACGAATGTTCAAGAGGTTAGACCTTAACTGAAGTGGTTGAAGAAGAAAAAAACTAAGAAAAACGGAACGAAAGTTTGATCTAATCTTAATTAGATTGGAATTGTCCTCGAGGCCTTCTCTTTCTTTCTTACTGAATTTTTTCTCTAATGAAAAGGTACTTGGCTGATGTCGCTTGCAAGGCAGTATGTACTTGCCTCCCCCCCACCCTCCCAAGAAACAACTGTTGCCACTCTCCGGATGGTCCAAAACAGGTAAAGTGTCGCTTTCAGTGGATAAATCATTAGAAACACCAATTAATCAAGCAATGATCTTTTAATTGATATTTTCTAAGCTTTATAAAGCGATAAAAAGAAAAAAAGAAACGACCAAATTGGAATTTAGAAGTAAAAATGATTCATACCTGTGAAAATTATGAACACACCAAGAAGTAAAAATATTACAATAAGTTTCATTGAACCTTCTATATTAGTCGATCCGTATTCATTTGATTTGTTAAACTTTCAAAACTTATCTCATGGTAAAAAACAAAACAAGTCTGTCTGAAGTCATAGAGCTATATATCAATATCAGGAACCAACTAATTAGATTCCACTGTATTGATATTACCAGACCCTGCAGCAGTCAATTTGTCATTTAAATTACAACATAGTCATCGGGTATTCGTGAGTCGACAGGACAGAGCAGATGTTGGGACCTACTTGATTTGTTATCTTCATACTTCTTCTGGCCACGGAAAACCTTCATTTTACTAAGCACAAAAGCGCAATCTGCATTCTAATGGGGCCTATTGGACATCACTATCCAAACTGGACATTTTTCATCACCCACGGTTTGTGAGCTTCAGTGTTTTCAAAAAAAAAAAAAAAACGATTGGTTTCCCCTTCAGGTACCTTTTAATATCATAACCATACAACGCTACGAAATGCTACGCAGATGGTTGTAATATCTGGGCTTCTTTAGCAAAGATTTCGTGGTTATGTCCCTTTAACTAGCGCAGCTCGGGGCCTAAATAAATAAATAACGAATAATAAACTAATGTGTTTGATTGATAATAGATTGATAATATTTGATTGGATATCGATCAGCATTCATTCATTCATTCATTCATTCATTCAATCATTCATTAATCCATCCATCCATCCATCCATTCATTGT